AGAATTGGGTGGGGAGCAGAAAAGGGGATTTTTTTTTCTTTTTTTTTTTTTTTTTTATTTTGGAAAGACTTTTGGCACTGTCCTTTGTCTCTGAACTGGAATGGTGATGGGATGGCACAAAGATCGTTTCAGTTTTAGAGAGGAGTAGTAGGAATTTAAAAGAAACTTTGGTATGGAAAGGATTTAACAACCTGGGGACAACTTCCTGGGCAAATGCAGATGGAGGTAAATAATCTGAACATCTTTTCATATTACTGGGTTGAAAACAGAACCAGAGCCAAGCAGGAAAAAAAGACAGGTGAGATGTGTGTGGAGGAGGATGAACAGCAAGTAGGGCTAGAAAGAGAAGTGAAAATACTGCAGTGAGCAGCATTATTTATGTAAATGGAACAGTGCCAAACTGCAAGCAGGGCTCAGTGATCATCCTGTCTGGAAGATGATAGGAAAATCTCCAGCAAGGGGAGGGCAGACTCTGAAATGAGAAGAGAATACAAAGATGAGAGCTAGTCAGCTTTGAGATAAACCCAGTAAGATAAGGGCTATAACAAGGTACCAGTGTTTTAGAAATGATTAATTTGGTAAATCTACCCTTTCTTTTAAAGGGGAGAGAAAGGGGCAGCCAGTGACAGGAGAGAACAACACATTAAAAGTTAATCTTCTTTGCGAAACACCTAATTAGCTTATCATTGCCACAGGATATCTTTATCTCTAGCAGACAGAAAAAGCTTTCACATTTATGGCTTGTAAAAATGTCTACAGGCACTCACAGCCATAAAAAATATGTAAGGGACAGCTGAAGCCAAGCACAGGGCACCAGCCAACCCCTTAATTGCTCCTGCTGGGAGGTGCTTTCTCTGCCTTCCTCCAAAGCCTGCTGGAATTTCTTGCAGAGGCAGCTCAAGGTTTTGTTGAGCTGCTTGTCCCAGCCTCTCTGGGGTGCCAGGCTGGATGATCTGTAGTGATTTAAGACAGCTGGCTGTGGTTTCTGCCCTGTGCTGTGTAGGAAAAGTGGGAATTAAGGCGAGCAATGTGATCCCCTGAAAATCTCCAGTTAAAATGACTGTAGGAAATACAAGTGCCCTGGAGGGTGGGCAGCCAGGAGCACTTGCAGGAGGTGTGTGGCTTTGGGGACCTTTTCCTCTGGCATAAAGTACAGAGAGTGTTTCACACATGCTGAGTCTGGCTGGGGCATTTCTGGTTTGTGTTTTGTTGAGTCCCCCATTCTCTCAAAGTTTTCATTATTATTTTCATTAGAGTCCATTCCATCATTTCTTATTTCATCTTGGCTGGCCAAAACTCCGTTGCTTTAACTGATGAAATGGGTGCTGGGGAGGAACAGCAGGAATTTGATCTTCAGTTCTGCGTCTTTGCTGTTTTGAGGAGGCAGGTTTTTTTGAGTGGTTTTGTTAAAACATCTTGAAGTTGTCCAGGATAAAAAGCCATCTGACAGATCACTGAGTCCTGAGGTCAGGCTCCTCCCTTGCCTCATAGGAGCTTCCAGACCCTCCTCAGGTTACTATTAGCAATCCCACCATCAAGTCATCCCTTTAGAAGAGGCTGAGATAGCAAAGTCTGTGGCTTGAAAAGAAGGAAACCCCCATAAAACAACCAGCAACTCCCCTGAGGGATGCAAAGCCTAATCAGGGTTGAAGTGGAAAATGTATTCCCAAATGGACAGGGCCAGATTTGTCCCCATTCCAAAGGCCTGCCCTCCTGCACAGCCGGCCCACTCCCCACGCACTCACACACTGCCCAGCTTTCCCTGCAGCTGCTGCTGGGGCTCCAGCATGTGCCTCCAGCTCTGCTCCTCCATCTGGATCTCTCTAGCCCCACTTATCTTGTCGCTTGGACAACAGATTCTGGGGAATACAAAGTGCAGGGGGTCTCCCTTCCAGTGTTTCACTAGTGCATGTGGAGTTTCTGAAGCTCAGTTCTAGCAAGGCAAGGTCTCTGTGTGCTGAGTTTTTCTGGAGTGAAAGGCAAAGCACCCCTGTACCTCCAGAGCTTTGCCTCACTAATTCATTTGGAAAGTCCTTAGGCTTTTTCCAGGCACTTGTCCAATCTTTTTTGGCTGGCTTCTTCTACTTCAATACAAGTTTTGCTTCTTTTTTGTTTGCAGTAGCCTGAATTTTTAATAGCTGTAGGGATGTCTCACAGAAGCCTTTATTTGGTTACGAGGAAGCCAAGCAATCAAACTGCTTGAAAACTGCTCAGCTCTTCATTTCTGTAGCAAAAAGTTCCCTCTGAGGGGCTGTTACCCTGCACTGAAGTCAGTCAGAATCTGTCATGAGCTTGTGACCAAGGTGACTTGAATCCCCTTGGGAGAGCACTGCAAACTGAGCAGTGCCTCCAAGGAAGGTCTCCAGTCCTGCAGAGCATCCACCTGGATTTACAACCGTGCTTTGCCAAGGGAAGCACCATGAGATAGGGCAGGAGAGCTCTCCAGCCACTGTTGTTTAAACACTGTCCTTCTTTGACCATGTGCTGTGTGGGGCTGGCAGTTCTCAGGGTCACTGTCACTGCATTTGGTCAGTCTCCAAAAGGAAAGGGACACCAGCACAGGGAGGGTCCCCAGGCCGTGATGCCCTTGCCATGTATTCATAATCTTCCCACCTTCCTCTCCATTCCTTCCGGGATAACCGGGGAAATTCTGGGGCTGGGGGAGAATTTGGGCCTGTTCCAGCTTATGTCACATCTGCATGACCTTCAGGAAAGTGTCAGGAGTGCGGCCTTTGAGGGCGATGTCTGCAGCTTCAGGGTCTGTGTATAACTCCTGAGAAAATGTGAGCAGGGACAATTGATCTCAGAGTTGCTCTTCTGTCCGTGCTAAGTCCTCACTTCCCTCTCCAAAGAGGTATTTAAAGCCAACTCCCAGGTATTAGTGAAGGCTGGGAGGGAGGTGGTGAGCTGGACAAGTTAAGTGCAGGTGAAAAATCACACAGTCCATCGACCAGCCTGATTTAGAAAAAGTGCCTATTTTTACTTCAGCTTTTCAGTAGGGATTTGGTCCCTCAAGACCTGCTTCCCAGGAACCCTCCCTTTAACAATCAGCTAATTAACAGCCTTGTTATCTGTCAGCTTTCCCTTGTGTTCTGCAACAGCTTCTGGGGGAGGGATGCAGCCAAAGAATGACAGCGTTTTCCACCCTCCTCACCCCCACCCCGTGCTGGGCTTCCTGCCATCCCCAATTAAGCTCCAGTGCCTTGCCTTGCAGTTATCGTGGAAAGCAGGACCAAAGGGCCACCGAGAGTCACTGTTCCCTCCCTGCCTCTATTGCACTGACAGATGTCTGGCCTGGAAACAGCCCGGACCTGTCTCCGTCGGGGTTTTTCACTGCCCGGGGATTAAATCACTGCAGTTTTTAAGCCAAGTGAGAAAAAGACAATGCTATGGATCGTCACCGGCGCTGACAGGAAGGAGTGTGGATTGGGATGTGCTTTCCTGGCCTCCTTCAGCGCGGAGAAGCTTCTTTATTTAGATTTGTTCTTCCTAAGAAACTGCCTTTTCCTGTGGTGGAGGAGCACGTATGTAGGGAACACGTGGAGGTAGAACCTGGTAGGTGACAGAGGGGACATCCCTGCTGGAATCCACGTTCTCTGCACAGACCCTGCTTGTGGGATGCCCCAGAGCTGGTCAGAAAGAAGACAGAAAGATGTAAGCTGAAGTGAAGCTGTTTTAGGATTATGGACATTTAATTCACTCCTTTTAATTTCTGACCTTCAGCCCTTTCTATCTTTCAGCCCCAGGCTGAGGGAGTTGGGGTTATTCAGCCTGGAGAACAGAAAGCTCCAGGGAGACCTTAGAGCCCCTTCCAGTGCTTTGAGGGACTCCAAGAGAGCTGGAGAGGGACTTTGGACAAGTGCATGGAGTGACAAGACAAGGAGTGATGGCTTTAAAGAGGGTTGAATTAGATTACATATTAGGAATTCTTCAGTGTGAGGCTGGTGAGACCCTGGCACAGGTTGCCCAGAGAAGCTGTGGCTGCCCCATCCCTGGAAGCGTTCAAGGACAGGTTGGATGGGACTTGGAGCAGCCTGGGCTAGTGGAAGGTGTCCCTGCCCAGGGCAGGGAGGTGGGACTAGATGATCTTTAGGATCCCTTCCAACCCAAACCATTCCATGATTCTGTGAATTCCCTGCAGGATTGGATGTAAACCCTCAGAAATCAGGGAAGGAAATCTGCTGAGAATAAAGGGTTGTTTGAGGTGTTCTGTGTCTTTTGCTTCTGCTGCTGTTTTTCAGACAGGCTTCGAGGGCCTGCCCAAACCCAGAGGAGCTTGAGAGTGAGAAGTGATTACTTCACTGTGCTGAGAGGAGTTTGCCAGTGGTAGGAGCTGGGAGTTAATGCAGTCTGGTCTTTGTTTTTGCTACCTGCTTATATCCAGGTGTGTGATAATTGAAAATGGAGAGGAGTCTGGACTGTGTGTGGTGTAGCTCCCCCCTTGCTGCTGGGTGTGGTGCTCTGGGTTTGGATGCATGGATATTTTGTCATCACCAGGATCTTTCAGGTCATTCTTCATGCTGCCTTTCACCAGGATCTTGGAGAGAAAGCCACCATGAACTCTCTCATGAACCCTGCTGTCATCACATCGTGCCAAAATGATTGAAGGAGGATGGGTTTTCAAATCCTAAAGTGCCTGTTCCCAATGACTTCAGTGATGGTCCCATAGGAATGATGATGCTTTCTGTTACTGTCAGCAGTTTCTCACCTGGGTAAAGAAAGCCTAGGGAATTCCAATTCCAGACAGCACAATTCTGCTCCTTCTTCATTGGGAATCTACCTTAAATGAGGGCTTCTATTGAACCTTTTCCATAGTTTCTTATACAGGATGTGTTTGCTGCACGTGTACATCAAAGAATACATTTTGAGCATCTTTTTGATTCTCTTTTTTCTGACAGTTCATCTCTTAATGCAGGACTTGCTGTTTTTTCTCCTTGTGCTTCTTGTTTATGACAGCTTTGCCTTCTGTTCTTCATCAAATGGTTCAGCACCCCCAAGAATCACAGAATATCCTGAGCTGGAGGTGACCCACAAGGATCATCGACTCCAACTTCTGGCCCTGCCCAGGACAACACCAAAAATCACACCACGTGTCTGAGGGCATTGTCCAAACAATTCTTGAACTTGAAAAGCAAGGAAATAATGGGGATTCTGAGAAAAAATAAGAAATCCTGATGGTGATTAAACTCACCTGCTCTCTGATCAATGGGATGGCACACACAGGAAAGACTTCACTTGATGGTTCCAGCACGGAGAACTGGGCCTTTTTGCCCTTTCCTCTATAGGGTAGAGAAGAATATAGTGGTTAACAGAAACATACCCAGGCTCACTCCTCCTGTTGGCCAAGTGGTAGCTGGGTTTTAGCACAGCTTTGCTTGTCCTGTGCCTGTGTTATCTGCTTACAGAGCGCAATCAGCTTATGAAAGCTGAGCTGGTTGTGCTGACGCAAGGTCTGTGCGGCTCCGACCTGCTGGAAGTGGTTGGGGCCTCAGAAATCAGTGAACCTGGGAACCATGGGGTGTTGAAACTGCCAAAGAGCTTTTGGCACCGGGGAACAGTGAAGGCACTATTTCCTTTGCTGGAAGCCTTCGTTTCATGTCGGGCGTTGGGCTCCACCTTTCTTGTCTGGGAGTCTCCTTGGAAGGGCTGTGTCCCAGCCAGTGTCTGCATTTCTTTTCTGTCTTCACCAGTTCCACTCACTTTTCTTGTAATTATTCTCTGGTTTTGTAGTTTATTTCCGCCTTTTTTTTTCACTCTTTCACTTATTTTCTTCTTCAGTTTCTTTCTCATCTCTTACTTGCCCTTATCAACTCGTCTTCCTCCATTCACTCACAGACCTGCTCTTTCTCACTCCTACCACTGCTGTGCATTTTTCCTCGCCACCTCCCTTTCCTCATCATCCCTCTATTTTGCCTCCTCAAATTCGCTTTATTCCTAAAACCCAAGAGGAAAATCAGGCTCCTGGGGAGAATCAGAGTGGAAAGAACCTATAACACGGTGGATTAGCCCTATCAGCAGGGAATGGGAAGCTCTGGGAGCCTTTGAAGGCAAGGCTGCCACAGTTTTGCCAGCTTCCTGCCAGATGTTTACTGTTGGGTTCAACTTCTCAGCACGTCCAAATAATCTGTCTCCAAAAAAGGTGTAATCAAGCCATCTTTGGCAGGAAAAACTCGCCAAGCAGGGATGTCATCTCTCCTAGTAAGAGCACTTTGCACCCTGTGGCGTGATGTAAATGGACACATTCTGGACAAACAACTTGTTAATGGGATGAGTTGCACTTCTGAGAGGCATCTTTTGAAAGCTTTCCTGTGTTGAAAGATTCCTTGGAGTTTTTCCATGGAAATGAAGGGCCGTGACACAACTGCAGGCTCTTCTGGCAACATTAGGCAGAAGTACAGGTTACTCGAGGCAGCCACAAGCAGAGGGCTGAGGTGGATGGTGTTTTCTTGCTTTTTGAGTGGAAAACTGGGGTTAAAAAATTGTCAGGAATATCTTCTTCAAAGAAGAATGATTTGTTTGTTACAATGGGTTTTTCTTTGTGAGTCTTCCTCAGGCTGGCTCCTGGTGGGGGGCTCTAGAGATGTCACTGTTTTCCACGGATCTATACCTGTCTTGTGCTCAACAAATCAAACATGTGCACACAGAATTCCCTTGCTGTGCTGGTGGATTCCTGTTTTTCATGGAAAAATAGAAAAATACCTATGGAACTACTGAGTTCCCCCACTCTGGTGGATTCCCTCTGAATAACGGAGAAGGTGGAAGGGCTGGTGCCAGGTTAGAGCAGCCTGGGATTGCACCTGAGACACGGAGATGGGAGAAGATGTGAGGAAGCCCTTGGGTTCTGCTGGCAGGAGAAGGTGATCTGACTGCGCTGGGTTGGGATGGAGGATAAAGTGTCCTGCTCGGGGCATGGGTTCTACTGGGAATCATGTTGTCCATCCTTCTGTCCTGTCTCTGGCAGGTCTATAACCTGACTCAGGAGTTCTTCCAACGAGGTAAACCAGTCAATGCCGAGAGCCAGAACAGTGTGGGCGTCTTCACGCGGGACGTCGTGCGCAAACGCGTCAAGGCCGACCCGGATGACACGGAGGCCGTCAAGAAGCTGAAACTGGCCATGATCCAGCAGTACCTGAAGGTATGTGTTCATGCCACTGGGGTTATTTTTTTGGTTTTAACTACGATCAGACAAATCCTGAACCTCGGGACCTGGCAGAGCCTTGCCCAGCACTGGGGAATTGCTTTCTGTGTTTGTATTGACAGCTTTTCCTCCTGAGGCAGATCCGGAGACAGTGGGCTGAAAGAAACAATGCCTTTACTCCTTTTTTTCCCCCTTAAACTCCAAGCTTTCTAATTAGAAGTGGCTTTCTTAGGCCCTGTTAAACTTTCTGATGTGATTTAATGTTTTTTTACCACCTGAAGCTACTTTATTGTCAGGGTCTTTCAGCAGTGTCTTGTCTTGTGCCTTACACATGATTGTGCTTGAGTGTTTTTTACCTCTGTCCATATCTCAGAGACCAGAAGAAATGTAATCTTGATACTAGTAGTTTGCTGGAGAAGTCCCCAGAAAGCATTTTGAAGGTAAAGCAATAAAATCCAAGGTAGACTGTATAAACTCATGTCCTAATCATCTTTCCTTATGGCTTTCCTAGTTCTTTTTAGCTCCTTGATGCCTTGGCTAAAAGACTTCTCTGTGGGATGAGGACTTAACACTGCATCAAGCAGCACTCCATAAATACAGTGTAACAACCATTTCTATTTTAATTAGAATGACCTAAAATCTCCTGAAATGAGGCAGGGGAGGCAGGCAGCACTTTGTCATGTGGGGAAGTGTATGGAGTTCACCATTTTCAGTGGGAACCCAAAGGAAAGAGAAAGATGTAAAGAGTCTGACAGGAGGTTTGTGATAAAGCTGAAGTTTGAACCCTGGTGTCCTGATATCTCAGTGTCCCAACCCAAAAACTTGTGTCACAGGGTGTCTCCACAGTTGCCACGTGAAGTTATTTATTGTGTTATCCATGCGAGATCATCCATGCAGAGAGGGTTAGTCATCTGATACAGCTCTTGTTTGCCTGGCGGTTTCTTCTGTGGTTGCTACAGGTTGCCAGAGACTTTTCTGCAAGTCTTGCAAATCCCTTCTCATGTGTAAATACCTGAGAACAACAAAGCTTCTCATACTTAAGACTATCAGATGAGAAAGTGGGGATTAACCGGTCTCAGGCAAAGTATAGTCTTGGTAGTTGCTTGTTTTTCCCTCTGGCGTTTTGGCTTCATGGTTGAAAGACTCAAACAGGCATGTTTGAGGTGTTTAACTTCACAACGTGGAGTGTCCTGTTGGGGCATCCAGGCAGGATGAGCATCCTGTTGTGTGCCCTGGGGTGCAGGTTTGTGTTGTGGGTCAGCAGAACTGGCCCTGGGGGTGCGTTGGGAAGTTCTCACTCAGCCAGCAGATGGGGTGGAACCACAGCACGTTCTGAGGATGGGTCTTCACTCAGTCTCCACAGGAGTCATTGAGCAGTGACCAGGATGGGAAAACCACCTGTTTGTCCCTGCAGTCACAGGAGCAGCCTGTGAACTACTTGGTACGACCTTGACTCGTTCGCTTGACACCTTATCCCAGCACAGAGATTCTGCCCTGTACCAGGACGCTCCACAGGGAGAGGGTCTAGGCTCATCAGGCTTCTAAACATAGTCATTAAAGTCTGGAAAGGCCTGGAAAATGGGTCAAAGGGTGAGGCAAGGAATTGTAATGTTCCTTTTGCCTAAAATGCTTAAAGAATTATAGTGTGTGAGTGATCGTGACTCCGGTGAAGATTTTAAGATCATTGTGTCCCGTGCATCAGGATTATCATTACAAGCTTATCACAAGACAGCCCAAACATCCTGCCTTTGTTCCAGGGATTGTTGGAAGCTACGGCTGTGCCTAATACTCCTACACACATTAACCAACAGGTTAATGAATCTAAAGCTTTGGTAATCACATCAAGGGAATCAAACACACGTGTCTTACATCTTGGCATTTCCCTTTCCCGTCTCCTTTGGTTCCTTCTGTGCTGGGTGCTCTCACCTCCAGCAGATTGTTAGTTAGCTGATTGCTGACTGACAGCACGCTGAAAGCTGCAGACAGCAGAAGGAGCTGCCAAAAGTTTTTCATGGCTCCTTATGGGAACATCTATTAACATTGGAACGAGCATCTGATTAACGCAGCTCCAGCTTCTGCTGTAGGAGCACCAAGAGGCTGATCCCTGGCCAGTGGAGTGGGTTTTAAAGGATAGAAAAGAGTCAGAACTGTAACCCACAATCGTCCAGAAGCAAAGACATCATGGAATCACAGAACCCCAGCATGGTTTGGGTTGGAAGGGACCTTAAAGAACATCTAGTTACAACCTCCCTGCCATGGGCAGAAATGGCTTCCACCATACCAGGTTATTCCATGCCCTGTCCAACCTGGCCTTGAACGCTTCCAGGGATGGGGCAGCCACAGCTTCTCTGTGCAGCCTGTGCCAGGGCCTCCCCACTCTCACAGTCAAGAATTTCTTCCTAATATCTAATTCAACCCTCTTTCAGTTTAAAGCCATCACTCCTTGTCCTGTCCCTTCGTGCCCGTGTCCGAAGTCCCTCTCCAGTCTCTCTTTAGGCACTGGAAGGTGATTTAAGGTCTCCCCAAAGTCTTCTCCAGGCTGAACGCTCCCAACTCTCTCAGCCTGTCTCCAGAGCAGAGGGGCTCTAACCTTCTGGTCTCTGACCTCTGGATGATGCAACTGTTGCAGTGCAACCCAAGCTCATTACCATGACAAAATGGTTTCTCTGGTTGCAAGGAAGGCTAAGGATTGATTGTTGTCAGATCCTGTGGCCAAGCACTTCTTTGCTAGCAAAAATAACGTGGTTTCAGAGTGCCATTCAGGACTCCCATCCTGTGCAGCTCCTCTGTGCCCTTGAAACGTTGTGCTGTGGCAAAAGGAGTTGCTCTGTGGCAATGTTGCTTTTGTGTTGCTTTCTCTTAGGTAGAGAGTTGTGAGAGCAGCTCCCACAGCATGGATGAAGTCTCGCTGAGTGAATTTGGGGAATGGACCGAGATCCCTGGGGCTCATCACGTCATTCCTTGTGGTTTCATTAAAATTGTGGAGATTTTGGCCCGCTCCATTCCCAAGTCTGTCATTCAGCTCCGCAAGCCGGTCAAGTGCATCCACTGGAACCAGTCGGTCAGCAAGGAGATTGAGAGGGTGGCTGACCACAACAGTGACCTCCCTGAGGAGAACAAGAGCTCTGATGTCTTCGTGGAGTGCGAGGACTGTGAGTTCATCCCAGCTGACCACGTCATCGTGACCGTGTCACTGGGAGTCTTGAAGAAACGCCACGAGAGCCTGTTCCACCCCCGCCTGCCCGAGGACAAGGTGATGGCCATTGAGAAACTCGGGATCAATACGACTGACAAGATTTTCCTGGAGTTCGAAGAGCCTTTCTGGAGCTCTGAATGCAACAGCATCCAGTTTGTCTGGGAGGATGAGGCAGAGAGCGAGAGCTTGACTTACCCCGAGGAGCTGTGGTACAAGAAGATCTGCAGCTTTGACGTGCTGTACCCACCGGAGAGGTACGGCCACGTCCTCAGTGGCTGGATCTGTGGAGAAGAGGCTTTGATTATGGAGAAGTGTGATGATGAAACTGTGGCAGAAACCTGCACCGAAATGCTACGTAAATTTACAGGTCAGCCGTGCTCTGGTGGGAGAGGGAGCGTGGGGCTGGGGTGTTGGATAACCACGAGGAAGGAAATGCTTTAAAGTCATTTTTAGTTCTTTGGCATTTTATGTCCCTTTGAACGTGCGTGTGCTCCCTGCACAGCTCCTGCTTGGGTGTGCCTGAGAGCTATTTATATACAGGGGGGCTGATAACCAGCTCAGGAAGTGGTGGGCAGAAGTGCTTGAGGATTCCACATCCTCTGCTTTATTTAATCACAAATAACTCTTCACACAAATAACTCTCCAGCAGCTGAAGCTGTCAGACTCAGTACCTCTGAGGACTGGTCTCAGCTGTGGAAAACAGCAGGGCTCTTTCAGAAGTTGAACCAGTTTAGATCAGCTGAGATGTAGTTGAATCACATCCCTGACTTCCATTCAATATCAGCTCTGTGGAAATCTCATCAGCCTAAATTTCAAACAATCCGTTGATCCTGAGAGCTCCCCTTTTCTGGGTGCATCACTTAAACCTTCCTGGACTTCCCAGATTTCGTGTTTATTGAACACACATCACATTAAGGGCAGCAGTTGGAGTTATTGTTATACTGAGAAAATCCAAGATGAAATCACTAAAACAAGTAATACTGCAGAGGTCTTAGAGATCCTCTGATGGCTGAAAGAAATAGAGATGGACTTATTAGCAGCTTTGAAATAAGGGTTTTGAATTTATACATGATTACAAGAGCAGCATCCTCCACAGTTAGATGTGGTTTGTGCTCTTCAGGAGGTGTGTCCTGTGATTAAATGATTTATATTTTTCTGCCAGCTTGTGTTAGGCAAATCTGAACACCCAGTGGGTTTCCAGCCTTACCACTTTCCATAGACCTCCAACTAACTGGAGAAATGTGCTTCCACAAGTGTAGCTTTCCCCTGTCCTTACAGACCATTTGCTACCAACAATATGGAGATCTAGAAAATCATAGAATTACAGAATGTGCTGAGTTGGAAGGGACCCATCAGGATCATCCAGCCCAACTCCTGGCCCTGCACAGGACACTCCAAGAATCCCCCTATGTCCTAAGAGTGTTGTCCAAATGCTCCTTGAGCTCTGTCAGCCTTGGTGCTGTGACCACTGCCCTGGGGAGCCTGTTCAGTGCCCAAACACCCTCTGGGGGAAGAATCTTTTTCCTGAAAGGGCCCTGGAATCTGAGGAGTGTCTACATAACTGGCCACTGCCAAAAGAGGTTTCAGATTTTACCACTCTTTCCAGAAATCCTGAGTGTGGATTCAGAACCTCTAATGCAATGCCCAGACCTGCCCCCTTGTTTCAGCTGGTGCCTCCTGAGCTGTTTGTGTTCGGGGTGTTGGGTGTCCCTACGCTCCGTGTCACGTCAGTTCCTACGTACCTTCCTTCCCTCTGACCTCACCAGGCCACTGCAGCTCTAGGCAGGCATAGCAGGAGGCTCTTCTTTCTCAGGCCAAGTTGTTCCAGTGCTGACGTCTCCCAGAGTGTACAAACAACCCTGTTTGTTGCAGCGTTTCTTGTTTCAAAATTTTTTTTTTTTTTTTTCACAAAACACCTCAATTCATCAGTGGGAATTTGGCTCTCAGGGTCTTTCTCAGTTTGGCCCATGGGAATATTCTCTCCCTCTTCTCTCTGGGCTCGTTCAGTGTTATTGTTTGCGTGTGTTGGATGTTCCTCTCTTCCTCCCAGGATGGAAATATGTTGGCTCTGGGTCCTTGGGTATGTGCTGCAGTTGCTGTTCCAGCTGATGCTGCACCTGGTCACTGTCCATCAGACTCCTCAGCAGGGTGAGCTCTGTCTCAGCCCCCTGCTAATCCCAGGATATTTATCCCTGGAGAATTTCAGACTGAATTTACCGGGCCTTGCTCTACATGGAGCATTCCGTGCACCAGCTGAGAGGTGGCCTTGCTGCTGTTCAAAACAGAAGAAGACCTGTTGTTGGAGCACCCATTACACAGCATGAGCTGTTCCACTTTCTGCCCCAGAAAAACTTGTTAGTTCGTAGAAAACCTTTTCACAGATCTTGCAGGACAGCCTGGCTGAGGGAGCTGGGTTTGTCCTGTTGCCCTTGTTCCCGTTTTCCCTAGCAGGTTCACAGAAGGAGCAGTACCTCAGGGCTGATCTGGGCCAGGTGCCAGGCTGGCTGAAATAACAGAAGTGTGCTCAGTTCTCCGTGCACCTCCTGCCTTCTCTGCTGATCTGTTCCATTGGGAGTGGGAGAGGGAGCTGGACCAGCAGCCTGCTGTCTGTGATGCACCTGTAGCCACTTCTGAACACAGCTGAACACCACCAAACTCAGCTTTTAAACCTTTCCCACCACTCAAGTTCACATAAGTCAGTTAACCAAGTTAGGAAACTAGTCCTACCAGGATCCTAAGCTCAGTGGAAAGCCTGGGTCTTCCATAAGGCAGCTCAGATCTTCCACACCTCACTTGGTGCTCTGTGACATCTTCTGAAGCAGCTTTTCTCTACTGAGTATAGAGGGAGCCTTATATTCAGTAATGAAAGTAGACAGTTTGAGCCTTTTAATGTTCACTTTGCCTTTTGTGCCTTTCATGTCCTGGGTATGAAATCCCCCACACTCTTACTTCTTATTCTTCTAAGAAAGAATTGATGCATTACCAGGTGGGTTCCCATCTTCTGCTGTGTTTTCCCAGTCTGTTGCCCATGGTGGCCTTTCCTTTGGCTTCAGAGTTTGTTATGCCAGTCCTAAGTTAAATCTGTTCTTTTAGACTCACACTGAGAATCCCTCTCTGTGAATTGACCTTAAATTTCACTCGCAGGCTGCAGATTATCTGGCTTTGCTGTGAAAAGCCCTGAGGATTGTTCTGACCTAAGAACCATCGACAATTACTGCTTTTCACAACTGGATCTGATTAAATGGAATACCTCAGAGCAATTAGGAGTCTTGCTCTGCTGTCTTTGTTGGCTGAGCTCCAAGAGTTAGAAGCCAGAGGCAGTAGCTGTAGGCCTCAATCACTGGAGCCTGTCAGGCTGTGGATGGAGATGCCCTGAGTTGTCCTCTCTGAGCTCCAGCTATTTATCTAGAGGGGAACAGATCTCTTTTAGGTTCTGCTTCACATCTCCCAGCCCCATGTGGGTGTCTGGGGTACCACGATGTCTCTCTGGTGGTTGTAGTTCCTAATGTGTGAGTAGTACCACAGGTCTCCCTTGATGGGATCTTAGATCCCTGCTCTCAGGGGTGTCTTAATCTGGATCTGTGAGTTGATTTTAATAAATCTCTGTAGTCACACCTCCCAGGAGCTGAATAAAAATGGGATTGTGTGAGGCATCTGGATTTGTCTTCCACAGCTGCACAAGTGGAAATATGTGGCAGAAAAGTGTGTGCCCTCCTACTTCAGTGAAGGCCAAGATCCCTTTTTTAGCCATTTTATCTCTCTTTGGACAGTGAAAACTGAGAAGTTTCCACATCTGTGTTGTTACTTTTATCTGTAGGCAAAGGCATGTACGTGTTTACTCTATTTAAGAGCAGATTAAGTCCAATTAAATATGTTCCCTGAAGGACTATGGCTCCCAGTCTCTGTAGTTTTTGTCTTGCAAACAATGGTTCAGGATCAGAGCTCATGTTACATGTTTCAACCAAAACCCTCCTCTATTCCTGCAGCAGAAGTGCACGTCTCCTGATCTTGCTCTTAGAAGCAGTTGCTGACATTTAAAGGTGCAGAAATGCAGAATGCAGGGGTACAGTGGTTGCACAGTGGGCTCATGGGTCTTGCTAACATGGTTTGATGTCCTGGAGAACCTGGAAGGAGCTCATGAGAGCTGGTGCCTCTGCAGCACAGCCGGGGAGGGAGGCTGGCTTCGGTTCTGGGAGCTGGTACAGCTGTGTTTTGGTGTGCCCAGGCTCCTTCCCCTGCTCCACACTGACAGCTGGTTCAGACATCCCTCCCTGAAGCTCTGCCACCTTCCCTAGGCCACACACTTCACGTGTCTGTGCTGCAGTCTCCCTTGAGATGGAGTTGCTACTTGAGGAGCAGTTCCCTGTGGGAAGGCTGGTGTTTGCCTGTGTGAGGTCATCCCTGGGAAACTGCAGAAGGACAAAGCTGGTACTTTTGCCAGTCTGAGGATTGCTCTGTTCAACATGAAGGCCAGCAACTGCTGGGTTTGTGTCACTGGGCTGGTGGCCCTACAAGCCCTATTGTGAACAAATTTCAGCCGTTTCACAGACCTGTGGCCTTACCTGCAGGCTGACAAACCCTCATCTCATGAGGGTGCTCCTCATGTTAGTCATGGTTTTATCAACATCTTGTTGACTCTTCTGGACATGGAAACACACACCAGCTACAGGAGAGGCACCCCCAGCCCTCTGCAGAGACTCCTTTGATTTGAAAATCCATCATTGCTTGTTGTTGGGCAGTGCAGGGTGGTGGGTGGCCCTGCTTGGGGGTCTGTTGTCTGACGGCTTCCATGGTGTGCTCTCCTGGGCTTTCCCACAGCCCTCAAAAATAAAACACCATAATTTGTTTCCTTGACACAT